CTTTTGGCAACCAACCTCTGTCTTTCCACCTTCATTAAGACTCTGCATCCGGGTAGGCAACTATGGCAACTTTACGACCTGTGGACTTCAACTCCCAGAATTCCTGAGCCCGCCATGTTGCCATAGTTGCCCATCCCTGCTCTAGGTCGGTCAAACTCCCTTGGGGGCAAGCAGCCACAGGGGCTTGGCAACAGCCCAGGTGTACTGGGTTTTTTAGTGTGTCAAACACGACCCGCAGCAATTAATATTTCATTCTGGTTTGCATCTTGACTGAGCACTGAGCAGGCAGACCTGAGACTTAACTGCATTTGGGCTCACTTGATTGGCAGCATAATGGATGCTCAGCTTTTCCAATGCTGCCCTTTGTGTCTTTTAATCTGGATAAATTCCTGTGGTTTGAGCATCACCACAGACAAAGCTTTTTGTGCTTGCATGGATTAGTTGACAAAGAAGAAGAGGGATGCCAGCACATTTCCTGGGGATAAACTCTTGTGCTGAATCCACCATCAACTGGCCGCCAAGCTCCGCAATGATTCAGCGAGCGATCATTTGTATTCGTTCAAACGGGAGCTTTCCATAGCAGCACACAATGGTTAACAGTGTTGTATGTTGTCCAAAGGCCACAATGACTGTGCCTATGATTTGACATCGATTAAAACTACATTGGGCAAAGTTCAGTATTTTGCCCACACCTGGCTTTCCTGATTGAAATCCTGTTTCTTTCTTTAGTTTGAATTGCTTTGGGTGAAAGAATGACACACTGGGCAGGGCTCTTGCAATGTGGCGTGCAAATAGTGCACCGCACAAGGTCATCACTTGAAGGATGTGGGTGTGCCAGTGGCAAATTTTAAAAAGGATCAAAAGCTCTGCAGTGCAGTTATGGAGGGGGAGACCACCTGAGAAAGGGACGAAAACAACAACATTTTGAATAATCTCAGCATGGGGATGGGGATGGTGTCGTGGTTGTGGTGAATTCTGCACAAGGGCACTTCGAATACCAGCCTCAGTGGGTGTCCATACGTAGGTGACTGGCACCTGCTAGAGCTGGTCCCAGCAAGGTGGCAGCGAAGGACTCTTCCAGAGTGAAGTCGCTGGCCTCTCTTTGGAAGGTGATGGCAGAATTTCAAGAGCCGTTCCAAGGTGCTTGATTAGCTCAGTCTGAATGTCACTCGTGCCAGACGCTTCGCTAGATTTCATAAGCTTAATGGCATTTTCCAGCTCCACCATTACAAAATGTATTTGGAATGTCCATTGTCTTGATGTTCTTGCCATTAAATTTCTCTTCCTGTAATTTGTTTGGAGGGTTCCCATTTAGAAAGCAATTGCTTTATTGTTGGGCTGGCTGGTATATTCTGATGCGGTTCCATTTTCCTTGGGTTATTGTTCAGCTTTCTTCCTCTCCCTCCCTCCCTCCCTCTCTCTCTCTCTCTCTCTCTCTCTCTCTGTTTGTGTGTGTGCATTAAAGACTGTTTAAAAAGGTTAAAAATACCAAGTGAGAAAAAGAAAAGAAAGAAATCAAATAGAAAGCTAAAAGTACAAGAAACAGAAAACAAGGAAAATAGAAAAGAGAGAAAAAAGATACAAAGAAGTAGCTTTCTGTTTTCTTTATAGCAGATGCCCGAATACAACACAGTTATAAATTTACCTCTTAACTCTATTGTTACATTTCTCTTCCTTCTATAATCTATCTATTCATCAAAATATGAATCATGAGTTCATTTTTTTCCTGTTTCATGCAAAACAGGCTACAAAGGGTGTCCAGTCAACATTTTCTGGTCAAAGAAGTTAAGCTGCGTATCTCAGTTCCTTCATCTTCACCAAATGTTCCTCCATTGTGGGTGATACCAGATGTTTTCACCTTTGTGCATGCAATAATTTTGCTGCACTTATCATGTTTAGAAACAAGAGTTTCATGCCCTTTTCCCAGCAGTCTGTCTATCAGTCCCCAAAGAAAAGCATCTGGTTTCAATTCTATATTAACCTTTACAATCCTCTGAATCAGTGTATGCATCTGAATTCAGGATTTTCTAGGTTTTTTACATATTGACCAAGCATGATAAAATGTCCCTTCTTATTCATAACATGTAACAAAATATGTAACATACTTTATGATGCCCTCTCCACTTTATGGTGCTCAATCCTCTCATTTGTTCAATATCTATATAAAGCCACTGGGAGAAATCGTCTGATAACTGATATATAACTGATGATCCCCAGTTATACAGTATATCCATCCCAGAGCAAATGCAAGATAGAGTGAAAATCTTAATCCAGGGTCCAAACTCTATAAGGTTTGGATGAGGATGAAGCTTAAGCCAGACAAAACAATGTGGATTGCCAACTGATTCCAAAATGGTTCCAGGTTTAGTTCTAAATATAGTTGAATTTCCCACAAAGGAACTGTTTCGTAATCCGGGGGTCTTTCTGGAGTCACGGCTCCTGCTGAATTAGCAGTGGAGGTTGTAACCAGAAAGGCCTTTGTATAATTTTGTTTGGTGTGTGAGGGTGAGTGCCAGTATGACTTTCACGGGATAGGAGACACTTGGGATGATTATTCCCACCCTGGTTACATTGCAGTTGATCTATCTTAAGTCCCCGCTACGTAAAACTGGCCTTGAAGATCACCAAGAAATTAGACCTGTGCAGAATATGACAGCCCAGATACTAACAAGAGCGTTGTGTCACACCCACATAACCTTCCTACTGTAGGAGTGTCATTGGTTGTCATTTTGTTTCTAGGTGGAATTTAAGGTGGTAGTAATAACTATGAAATCCCATGTGGCTTAGTACCTGTCAAAGTGCTTGTTTCTTGAAGACTGTGACTGCCCAAGACAGGCCAACAAAGAGCAGGTGTTAAGAGTCCTCACCTTCCTTGAGGTATGTAAGTAGGGATTTGGAGATTAGTGTGTGGAGTATCCTTCCTCTGAAATCATTAGAAGCAAACCATGTAGCCTTACTATTACTACTGAGAAAGCTGTTAAAGAAAGCTGTTATGCAGATATTTAGGGATTAAGGACGTGATAATTAGCTATCTCAGATGTGTGTGGTGTTATTTACTATGATTTTATACTATTTTGAGTTGCTCAGCTGAAGCAGCATAGAAGTATTCATAACAAATACAATCCAATAATTAATAGTAATCCTGAGTCAGGTGTAAAACCAATAACATATCTTAGTGTATGTAAGACACAGGTATCAAACTTGCCACATGATGTGTTGCGACGTATCGCGACTTTTTTTGCATTGCTGGGGCTGGGGCGGGCGCAGCCTCCGTATGACGCCACCGGCCCATGGTCCGGCAGTTTGACACCCCTGATGTAAGATAATATGCCAATTTTCTTAAATATTTGTCATTGTATTAAGAAGAGCTGTGGAACCCTGAAACTTGGCTTTTTAAATCTAAACTAGGGTTAAAAAGGTGAAACTATTAGGGTGAGCTTGAAAAGAACAAGCCAACATTGAGGGTTTGACGGGATCCAAGACTATCTTAATCCTTAGTATTACTTCTGACAAGAATGAAATCTCGGCTGGAACCTTCTTCCCACTAAGTCTTGAAGAATCTCATAGCTGGCTCTCCTTAACGTCCTCCTTTATTCAAGTCGTAGCCCCGCTTATTGCTATAGTTTGGATCTTACTTTTTTACAACTAGTATTGGGCAGGCTTCCCTGGCCATGGCAGTAGGCATGGACTCTCCAGAAATGCCACCTCATATTTAGGGAGAGCAGAAGTTCATAGATACGATGCACCTCATTTAGTATCTTTATTGCAGTCAAGGAAGAACCATGATCTGTGTCTCCTGCAGAAGAGGCATTCCAGCCTCTCCCTGCCTCACTTGCAGCTTTTCAATTCTAGGTCCTTTTTCCCCCCTGCCTTTGAAGTCAGTGGAGCCTTAGCTGTTCTCGTCCCCGTTTGCATATTGCAGGCCCTGGTTCCACATTCAGACAGTGCTTCTGCCTGGCCCAAGAATCATTGCTTCCTGACTTGCCTGCCAGCTTCAACCCATAGCCAATTGTCAGTTGACCTCATTGAAAACAAATTACTTCTTACTCTAGATAGAAGAGAATATTTGTAGTTTGGGGTTGAACTGTGGGGGTCCTTGATCCTCTCTGAGCTTGATTGTTTTCTTGCATAAGCAACCTGCCCCCCCCTTTCCCCACCCTCCCAATTTAAACCCAGATCTGTTTAGCCCGTCTGTGTATCTGCAGCTCAAAAAAGCTTTTGCTTTTTTAAAATAAAGCTTGTTTATCAGAAAAGATGCCAGCGATTTCTTCCAGGATATCTATTGAAAACGCTTAGATAGAAATATGAAGTTTTAAGATTTAAGTGTTCTTTTGAAAATTCGACATCCAGAGCAATTACATTTTTGAACCAAAGAAAAGATTTTACACTATCTATACACTACTGAAACTCTCCTGTCTGTTTGTAACCTTTCATTGTGCGAAATTGAAAGACATCGGGCAGCAATTATTGAACCAAGGTAACTTAAATGGGTTAACTTACAGAATGCCATCGCCCATGACTCACAGGGGAATAAAATGTGGGAAGTTGTGGGTGCTTCAGTGTTTCCAGGTTACTGCTGCTGCTTCACTGCTGTTGCAATGCTGCCACAGTCAGCTGTGATTCTACAACCCTCACTTCCAACAATCCCTGACGGTCCCCCAGTAGTCAGTGGGGAAGCTGGCAGGAAGTCACACATTGCTCCCCTTCGCACTGCTTGTTTGCCCACTGGTGGTCATAATTGTTCACTGGGCAGCAATTAAATAATAAATTAATTAAATTAAATTAAATTAAATTAAATTAATTAAATTAAATTAAATTAAATTAAATTAAATTAAATTAAATTAAATTAAATTAAATTAAATTAAAAAAGAATTACTGCACTGTTTGAGGTTTCACGTATCTTCTTCGCACTTTCTTTTCTTCTGGAACTGCAATCTCAGCTTGGGCCTGGCTGGAGCTGGAAGGTGGCCATAACAGTCTCTAATTGTCTTGCAGGGGGAATCTTTGAATATGCCGATGGCCCAAACGCCCAGGTAATGAATGCCGAGGAGCAGGCCTTCCGATTCTCAGCCAACATCATCAACAGAAATAGGACTTTGTTACCCAACACAACCTTAACCTACGATATCCAGAGGATACACTTCCATGATAGCTTTGAAGCCACTAAGAAAGGTGAGTGTGGAGGATCAATTTTCTTCCTTGGCAGCTTTTGAAGGGTTTTATGGAAGTGATTTGGAGAAAGTCCACAAGTATTAAAGTGGCCAAGGTTGGGGACCTCTGGGCTAAACTATTCAATGAATAGCTACAGTAGTGGCCAAAATTGTGGAAACCTTTTGGGAAAAGTGTATTGTTGAGATTTGATGGCTAATAACACCACTTTTTGGGGGGAGTAGTACCATAAAATTATATATCAATGGAAAGATAAGAGGTCCAGAATTAGAGCCTGCTCCATCCCCAGCTTGATGGAAGAGGGAGAAAGAAATTAAGGGTAACCACACAGCCGAATCTCTCAGGATATAGCTAGTAACTTAATCTGGCAAAATTCTGTCTATTAGAATAAGCAAATAAAGAACTCAATTGGGCTCAATTGGATTTTGCTGTTTAATCTTTGGATCTGACAGTTGTATCTTGTATTTTTATATTTTTTTGTTAAAACATCCTTGTTTCCTGATAATGCACCAAATGCTTTTAATTTACCCATTAAAATTTCAAGTTTCTTTAAAGAATTGTCCAAAACCAAGATAGAGTCATTTGCAAAAGCTCTTAGTTTATATGCTCCCTTTTAAATCTTTACTCCCACAATCCTCTCATCCTCTTATGTGTCTATTCAGTATTTCAAGAACTAGAATATACAGGAGAGGAGACAATGGACGGCCTTGTCTTGTTCCTTTTTGTATCTTGCATAGTTTTGTTAGACTTCCATTAACAAAGATTTGTGCTTTCTGTGAAGTGTAAATCGATCTCACCCATTTAATAAAATTCTTTCCAAAGTCTTTCAATATCTTAAACAAGAAAGCCCCATTCAAATTGTCAACAGTCTTCTCTGCATCCAAGAAGATCAATTCAGTTTGCTTTTCATTATGTTGCTCCACATATTGTCCCTTAATTGTCTTTTAGGTAAAAAGTCACATTGATCCTCATGAATAAATTCTCACAAAATTATTTTCAATCTTTCAGCTGAGATCATGGTGAAGATCTTGCAGTCGTTGTTGTAGTGGGGGTGTCAGTCTGTAGTATCTGTAATTAAAAGGTGAATCTTATACCTCTTTAGGTATTAGTGCTGTATTAGCTTCTTGCTAACCCTCTGGCATCTTTTCTCTTTCTAAGATAGAATTCATCATGTTTTGTAGAGGTTATAAAAGTTCATCTTCAGAGCATTTATAGTAAACCCCTGATAATCACTCTGGTCTTTCCTGATTTAATCTTTTTTATAGCTTCAGAAATTTCCCTTATTGTTATAGATCCATTTATAAATTGTCTCTATTCTTCTATAATCCTTGGTAAATTTTGTTTCTTTAGATCATGTATTTTCTCTGTGTATTTTGCTTTATGCAAGTTAAAATAATATTGATAAAATATTTTTATATGCCCACATTGTACATTATTACTGAATATCCCTCTTATCATTTCAGCATCATTCTCTTTTCTTTCTTTTTTTCATGATTTATATGCGAGTTACTTCCTTGGTTTATTTACAAATTCGGTTTTATTGCTTTGCATAATTTATTTTTCTTTCCATTTCTCTTACTGTTAACATAGATAACTGTCATTGTAATAGCATAATTTATTGAGAAATACTAATCTTCTCTGGGAATTTCTTTAATTCTTTTTTTTTTTCATTCAAAATAGCTTATATTCTCTGTTGACTCTTCTTTTTGATTTCACTATTATATTGTATAAAATAGCCTCTGATAAAGGTTTTGCTTGCATCCCAAACCATCCTTAAATAGTGCTTTTGCCCAAATTATCTTTAAAAATTATTTTAATTTACATTCCTCCACTACTGCTTTGTGTAACAGTATTTCATTCAATCTTTTATCTAAAGGAACTGGATTTCTTTTTATAAACCAAATTTACAGGATTAAAAGTCTTTGGTAATATCTCTACTTTAGAAACCTTAGTAAACACATTCTTTGAAATGCAAATCGTATCTATTTTTGAAAAGGATCTATGTCCTTTTGGGAAGTAGGTCTACTCTCTTGAGTTGCCATTTTTCTGTCGCAAATATCAACCAGCCCAAACCTGTTCATTAAATTAAAAAAAGTTGGCAATTTGTCTTGAATGATTTTACTCTTTTTTCTCACAAATTCCCCAATGTTTCTCAACCTGGGCCACTTTAAGATGTGTGTGGACTTCAACTCCCAGAATTCCCCAGCAAAGCAAAGAATTCTGGGAGTTAAAGTCTACACATCTTAAAGCAGCCCACGTTGAGTAACACTGTTCTATCCAGTTATGGAAAATCACTCCATTCCAATCCCCTGTCAACACCAATACAAGTTCGGGTTTTAGTTGGGGATAATATATAAAACATCTTCCAGCTTTTTTTTTTTTATTCTGCTGGAATAAATTTTCACCCATTTTTTTTATAAATCAAATGTTTTATATCCTTTTTTCTAATATGTGTCTCTTGTAGTCAGATTGTATCTTGCTTCAATTTTTTAAAATAAGAATATTTTATCTCTTTTGAGGAACAGTTGCTCCATTTATATTCATGTTAAGATATTTGTAATCCATAATCAAGCCAATGTTTTTTTAAAAAAAATCAATACCAGTAACAGCTAGTATTATCCCTTCCAGTTTCCTTCTCTGATGGATTATTTTATGTGGTCTCTTCTAAGTGCTCCATTTGAATCTCCTTCCGTTCTTCCTTGAATGTAATTGTCTCATCATATGGACAGAAATCAATCTAAACCTCTGCTGTTTAAACATAACAATCTCTCTGAGAATCTGATAGAAATTTCTTTAAGAACAGTTACATTTGTATTATCAATCCTTAATCTTATATTAAAATCCTGCTCCAAAATCTGATCCCTTGTCATCTTGCTTTTATTTTTTATTTTTAACTAAATTTCGTAATATAAATACAAATGAAAATAAAGATAGTAGGGAAATAGGGAAGGGAAGTGACAAAGTGTAGCCAAAAATCCCTTGGAACGTTTCTCATCTTTACAAGTCTTTCAGCCAGTGGTGGGATTCAAATATGTGAACAACCGGTTCTTTGTGTGGATGTCGCTTCTGGAAGTCCATTCTGGGTCTGGGCAACAAAAAATTAGCTACCGGTTCTGCCGAAGTGGTGCGAACCGGCTGAATTCCAACACTGCTTTCAGGCATTCTTTTTTCAAAAGCTGTCAGTTTGGTGTCACGTGCTTCTAATTACAGTATTACTCATGAGCTCAAAGAAAGTCGGCAGAAATTCTGGTGCAATTCCTTCCTGCACGTTGCTCTGACAATCCCTTCCTCCTCTCTATTCTTGCAATTTTTCAAGTAGTTGCCATTATGAAAAAAATCTCACCCAAGTGAAAAGGTATTCTCCCCCTTTCTTTTTTTCTTCTCTCCCTTTTTGGGGAAGTCTTCTTGTGCCTTTAATACTTTTATCTTCAATAGTACTTCAAAGTTGCAATCAATATTACAATCCACATCTCCATAGTTACAATCAACATCACAGTCTGGCTTATATTATGCTTTTGTTTTGTATCAATCACTAACTGCACTCTTTGACAATAAAAAGCATTTCCACGAGGATCCAATTCTTTTGTCTAATTTAATTTAGTACAATTTGGTCTAAAGTAGTTTCACTAAAAAACAGCCTTTCAAAATAATTGTCCCCTTTAACTGTCAAAATCTTTTCTTACTTTAATTCCTTGTTATGTTTTTTGTCAGAAGTTTGTAAGTCTTTACAGTCATTTCTTTTTCATTTATTGCTTTCTAATCCAGAAAAAAATGACAACTCACCAAGTGGAATCTTTTCTGGCTGACGTTCTTGATCCTTTTCTTCCCAGCTTGTGACCAGCTCGCCCTGGGCGTTGTAGCCATTTTTGGGCCTTCTCAGGGCTCATGCACCAACGCGGTCCAGTCCATCTGCAATGCGCTGGAGGTTCCTCACATACAGCTGCGGTGGAAGCATCACCCTTTGGACAATAAGGACACCTTCTATGTCAATCTCTACCCAGATTATGCCTCTCTCAGCCATGCCATCTTGGACCTCGTACAGTACCTGAAGTGGAGGTCGGCCACTGTTGTATACGATGACAGCACAGGTAAGATGGACCGGAGATGTGTCCCTTGTCAAAAATGTCCCCATCGACCCCAAATGTGGATGGCGGCCACCGTGGAGGGGAGCAAGTGTTGCAGTTGTCCACATTCAGGAGAATGGACTGGACTGAACCTGTTGCCAGAGTCTCTTGCAGCTGCTTCCCGGGCTCTTTCTACGCAAGATACAACGGTGATAGTCCAGTTTCCACTGCTGTGGGCTGCCCTTATGCTCCAGCTCCTCTTTCATGGGACAACCCTTAATTTTGTCTCCACCTCATACAGGAGGTTCTCTCCTGTGATGGAGTCCCACAGCAGAGCTTTTTCTGTAGGAACACAAAAACAGATTCCACCTGGCAGATTCTTCTTGGCTGCCTCCTCACTGAATGTGGGGTGGGGGCAGTTGAGAATTGCTTGTTTTAAATCAGGGGTAGTCAACCTTGGCTCTTTTATGACTCGTGGACTTCAACTCCCAGAATTCCTGAGCCAGCTGTGCTGGCTCAGGAATTCTGGGAGTTGAAGTCCACGAGTCATAAAAGAGCCAAGGTTGACTAGCCCTGTTTTAAATAATGACTCTGTAGACATTTTAACAAATCATTTAAAATGTGCCATTGGAGCTCCAATTGGGGGGCTTCACATGGGGATGGTTGACAGACTAAGAACAGACCTCTCACACACCCCGCTCGTCCTATTCCCTCCCTCCCCATCTTTTAGTTAGGGTCGAGTATTTATCTTTATCTATTGTGTATAGGTTTTGTAAACTTTCATCTTTTTAATATTGTAAATCACCCAGTGTTGCCTTGGGGTAAGATGGGTGGTCAATAAATTGAATAAATAAATAAGTGGTATCAATATATCAAAATAACATCAACGTGCTACTAAATAGTATTTCTAACTCACTTTGGAGCGGCTGCAAAATGAGTGCTACTAGAATAGTAAAGAATAATGGCAGCCTCTTCCAGTCTGCTGGAAGGTGTTCATTTCTTTTAGTGGGTCTCCGTGGTAATGTGGGAGTCTCGTTCATCCAGGTCATGATTGTCTATGTTGCCACGAACTGAGGAAGCTTCTCGGATCAGAAGCAAAAACTTCTTCAAGGAAAAACAAAGCCCAGTTGCCTTTTGAAAAAACACCTTTGGGTCTCTGTGGTAATGTTTCTCCTTGGCTGCAGTATGGAAAGGCTGCGCATGGCCTTTGTCTTTCTCAGAGCAGTCTGATGACCGTCCTCAGGTGAAGCTCTGCCTAGCCACTTTGACTGCTAGGCTGGGCTTCCTCCTTCAGATCTCAAACAAGGGAGGCTTCGATTCTGCTGTCTTTCCCCAGAGGAGAGAGAACAGGTGATTCCTCCATCTAGGACAGGGGTAGGCAACCTTGGCTCTTTTATGACTCGTGGACTTCAACTCCCAGAATTCCTAAGCCAGCCATGCTGAGGGGACAGGGAGAGGTTTCCATGCTGAGCCATGCTGGCTCAGGAATTCTGGGAGTTGAAGTCCACGAGTCATAAAAGAGCCAAGGTTGCCTACCCCTGATCTAGGACATACTTGAGCCAACAGCATGCAGACATTTTTGGGAGGAGAAGATGTCCAAGGATTGCTTCTGGCCCTAGATGCCATTTAATCCCTCTTATTCTTCTCAGCTTTCATTTCCTTAGCTTAAACTTGCTGCTGCTGCTGCTATCAGTTGTATTTGCAAAGCCTGCTCACCTGTGTCGATTTCAGCAATGCTTTATCTGGGCAGGTGTTTTTCTGAATTGTTTTGGGATGACACAATAGCAAAATTGCAACCGCAGATTGTTCTTCTGTACAATGGAATAAATTTCCCCCAATGAGCCTGTGTCTGAAATTTCAAATCCATTTGACATTGGGGAGATGGCTTTTTGTGATGCTTCCCAGGAAGAATTTGCCCTGCATAATCCAAAGCGCTAGATTCACCAGTCTGGATCAGTCTGCGGCACACCAGGAATTCTCCAATGAAGGAATTCTGTCCTCTCGCGACCCTGTACTGCCTCGGCCTCTCTGGAGGTCCTTGCTTGGGAAGCGGTGGCATGGGTCAGAATGCCGACACAACCCATGCCTCCTATGTTGTGTTTGTCCTTGTCTTCCCCAAGGCCTTATCCGGCTACAGGAGTTGATAATGGCTCCATCCAGATACAACATCCGTTTGAAAATCCGCCAGTTGCCCCTGGACACAGAAGATTCCCGGCCTCTGCTCAAGGAGATGAAGCGGGGAAGAGAATTCCGGATCATCTTCGACTGCACCCACACAATGGCTGTGCATATCCTCAAGCAGGTAGGGTGTGTGTGTGTGTGTGTGTGTATTACAAGGCCTTGCAGTTTCATATCTTCACTCAGTGATGAAGCTCAAGTTTGTGACTGCAGTTCAGTCTTTCAGTTGCTAGCCATCCTGGCTTCAATTTGGAGCCTACATGAGAAGTAGAACGAGGAGCCAGGTCTGGGAGCAGCTGTAACATAGATCTATAATTTCTGCTCCTGGTTTTTTCATCATGAAAATAGTTCTTGATAGTCCAGTTTCCTTGCAGCTCCTCATGTACCTGAATGTGGCTATTGTGTCTCCTTTAAGTTGTCTTTTCATCAGGGTGAGCATCTGAGGTTCCTTCAGCCTGTCCTTATCAAGTGTGCCCCCAAATCTCTGAATTCTCTCCGTTGTCCTCTTCTCAGTCCCTCCTATCCTGTCAATGTCCTTCTGGAAATGGGACACCCTGGACCATTTGTGGCATTTCAGGCTTGGTCTCACCCAGTTGTCGACTTATAACCTCCAGTTCCAATCTTATGGCAATATTGGGTGCACAATAAGGACCCCACAGAATCAGTCCTAGGGATTTAGATTGCACCCTCTCCCAATGGGGCAGGAGCCCAGTTGTGTACCACACAGTAAATGTGCCATTATCTTGCCCTTACAAGCTTCAGCTGAGCAGGACTGTACTGCTTTCCCCTGGAATTAAAAAGAAAGAACGGCCAAAGTTGCTTCCCTGAGCCACATGGGGGAAATAATTGGACATCCTGCCCCCCTCCTCCCCCCCAATTCATGGAAGATATTGCAGGAGGAAAGCTGGATGAGTTGGTACATTCCAACGAGTCCAGTTGCCATGACTCAACTTCCAGACAACTGAGAATCTTCATTGACGTTTCTAACTAGAGTTTCCTCACTTTGATGAAGAAGGGACTTAGGATTGTTTCTTAATTAGCTGTTCTGTACATGATGAACCAAATCTGGCTCCAGCCACCCTATCTCATTGTTCTTCTCATAAACCTTAGTCTTTTGATCCAGTTTGGCTCTTAATCCCTTTGTAGTTGTCAAGATGGCAACCGTAATGGTGCAATCAAACCTCTGGGAGATGTTTCATATTGCAAGAGTGGTCCTCAAGCATAACAAACATGGACTCTTAACCAGCATTGGTCCTCCTAACAAAAGGGATGATCTCAGCTCCCAGGGACTGCTTGTCCATCAGCAAAGTGATCCTTTCTGATCAGACCTTGGGTGCTTCGGATTCAATTTCTCAGGTGGTCTTTTAACCTCCCTCTCTGCGTTTTCCCAGGCCATGGCGATGGGGATGATGACAGAATACTACCACTTCATCTTCACCACACTGGTAACGTATCTTGATTCATTTATCAGCCTTGTCTTCCACAAACTGAGTCTGATCACCCTCAGTCTCTGAGGAAGCCAGCCTAATCAGGGCCAGAGAGAGGAAGATGTTCTTGAGCAACAAAGAAATGAGGATTGTGCACACAATATTTTTGTGAACGAGTACAGCATTCCGAAAACAAATGTGCTGAAGTGAATCTTGGGTTCAGATTTAATTTGGCCAACAGAGTAAACTATTAAATATTGAATATATTCTCCATGGATAAGCCAAACCCAATTTTGGGGATGCATTTTTGAGCTTACAGTTCTTAGCTTATGTGTGAATATATACTGTATAGGAAAATTAGAAATCTAGAATACATTTTCCCATCGGAACCCCAATATCCACTGAAAAGACTTTGGTGCAGTTTTTAGTCCTTGACTTATGACAACAATCAGGCCCACAATTTCAGTCGCTAAGCAATGTGGTTCTTACACATAATCAGAGTCAATTTTATGATCAATTTTAACACAGACTGAGCAAATGGAATGGAATCTGCAGATAGCCTTGGGGAATGAGGGAAGAGAGGCTAGCTGGGAAACAAAGAAGAGAGGGGGGGGAGTCCCTGTCACCTAATGGTCAGAGGAAGAAACTTAGAAGTGTCAAGCAGTTAAAAGTTGAAGTGGGGGGGGGGAGTTTGTGCCTTCAGACTTGCTAGATTCTGTGGTAATGTAGCTGTCAGGATCAGGAAACCAGGAGCCAGGATAGAGTTCAAAAGCACACGTGATTTTTATACAGAAGAATCTGATCCACTAACAGCCAAGTCAAATTGGCACCTGATAAGAGTCAACAGTCTTCCAAAGGGTCTGGACTTAGGTCTCTTTTGGGGGCATAGAGATTCCAAACTCATGACACGCTTGACCCCCCCCCCCTTGTGCTCAGCCTGGCCATCTCCTACATCAGCCTTACCATAAAATAAAATCAGTTCATCTGGTCGTGTCTCCTGTCTGGTTTACCTGGGAGGGCTGAGAGCAAATCCCATGGTCCTTAAACGAATCGCGTGGTTGTTAAGCAAATCTAGCTTCCCCATTTGACTTTACTTGTCAGAAGCTGGCAGGGGAGGTCACAAATCATGATTGTGTAGCATAGCCACAAGATGCTGCAACTGTCACCAATGCAAGTCAGTTGCCGAGCGCCTGAATTGCGATTTTATGTGACCAGATGCTCACAATTTCAAGGACAGGCTGTCAGCGTCTTTTTCCAAGGTGGTTGTAACTAACTTTAGACCGTTGTTAAATGAATGGCTGTAAGTTGAGGATTTCCTGTATTGTGGCTGGAGTTAACTACCTCCCTTCTGCGCTTTGCTGCAAGGAGGCTTCTCTAGTTTGGGTCAAGGAAAGGAAAATAGCTCGGGAAGAGACGCGGAGGGATCTCTCACAGAGGCAGTGGGATGGCCCCTTGGTTGAAGAAATGCACCTCTTTTGGCCACCTGGGAAATAAACCTGAAAGGGGGGGGAGAAAACCCCCTCGGTTTCTCTTGTTGTCCCACTCTGTCACTTCCAGCCCCTGTAACCTCAGCTGGGGTCTGCCGGGGCCTGACTGTATCTCCAGAGCAAAACGTGTCCACGGAAACAACACATTTAATTTTTAAAATTACATCCTTTCCCTCCCTCCCCCCCTGTACCCAGCCCTGCCAGTAAAGTGATATTTTGCTATTGTTATCTTTCCGGAGCAGCTTTTGCAACTCTCTGATAGCCTCAGAGCTAGAACCTGGTTTCTGAAGTCAAGCCTGAAGATAAGGTAGACGGTGTCTCTGGGCAGCCGAAAATGATGAAAATAAAAGACCAGATAAACCACTGTAACAAGACCCGTTTCCCTGAAATATAAGCTGAACGGTAGACAAGATAGGTCCTGCTCACAGGCACTCATGCTTCAGATTGCTGCAGTGCTCTCCGCCTGTGGCTGCCATTGGAGAATATTCAGAAGCTGCAGCTGGTGCAAAACACAGCAGCAGGCGCACTTGTCATCCAGCACATGTGGCATCACTGCTCTGCAAGCTGCATTGGCTTCCTCTGTGAAGTTGGCTCCATTCAAGGTGCTGGGAACCATCTATAAAACCTTTTGTGGCTTGAGCCAGGTGACCTATGGGACTTTCTCTCCCTGCTGGTATCTACCTGGCCCATTAGCTGGAACAGGAGAGGCAAGCTCCGGGTCTCGTCTATGAAGGAGAACCATCTGGCAGGACCCAGGAAGAGAGCAGGATTTTGACCCTGAGGCCAGCCTGTCAACCCTCATCCCCCTGGAGATCAGACTGCTACTGAACATGCTGGCTTTTTGCAAGGCATTTAAAACCAAGTTGTACGGTTGAACCTGATAGTTTTAAAGCCATGCTGCAGAAAATTAGCTCAGGGTGTGCTAGGTGAAATACATCAGCAGCATCAAAAACAAAGCTAAAAGCAGAACTGGGCAGAATGGAAATGAGGGGATGGAAGAAGCAACTGAAGGAGACATTCCCTGGCTTTACCCCACAAGAACAATGGAAATCTGAGGATTCACCCAGACTGCAAAGAATTAAACAAATATATTCAACTAGAGTCTTATAATAGCCTGATATTCTTAGCAGAATCTCCATAGACATTCTTAGCCGAACTTGCAGATACAAAGATGAATGAATCAGCTAAATTTTGATATATGCTAATTTAAAGAAACTGAAAAACAAACAGGTTCTCCAATATTAAAGTACAAGAAGTATAATATTTTGTAGGAATATTAATTAACGATGGCATTAAATCAGACAAGGTGAAAGTAAAGGCAGTTGCAGTTTTGCCAAAACTGACGTGCTAGAAACAAGGTAAATAAATGTCTCAAAATTCAAGAATAGCTTGAGTGCTGTTTTATTCCAGGAAAAAAGATGCTGCAACAAGACATTCGTTTCATGAATCTACGGTCAGATTGAAAAAAAAAAATCCAATATGTTGGAATGCTGCTTGGACTCAAATATTTTAATTTCTTTCTATATGGAAGAAAGTTGGTCGTGTAACCAATCACGAACCCTTGATCGTCATCCTACAGAGAGAACTAATTCATATTCAGAATAATGGGGTGAACTGTGATCCTAAAATCTAGGTAAGTAGCATAGAGCAGAACTACTCAGTGGGCCGTCACATCTGGCAACAAATCACACAGGCCACTTGTCAGGTGATTTGAGGGCCTGCAGGGGGGATGCTGGATGTTTCACTCTCCTCTTCTCTGACCTGTCTGAACATAAAGAGGAGGAGTTTCTTTTGACCCCGTAGGAAAAGGTAGACACTGAGTTGTTCACACAACATGATAAATACTATGTTAGGATCAAGGGTTATTATTCAAAAGAAGCTCAACTAGAGGATTTGTTAGTGTAAGCAACTATTCAACACATCAACACTGAGATTGCTAGTCCATTGCCCAAAAATGACCTTCAGTATGTTCAGTGTTTTGCTTCATTCTGTACTTGTAATTCAAATTCATGTGTTCTTCTCCTTTAATTGCAGTCTTTAGTTTCCTCTAATTCCCCTTGGTGCTCAATTTTTACAATCTTAATATTATTATTTTAAATCAGAACAAAAGTATTTCCCATGGGAAGTTCTTAAATTTGTAGTTAAAAACTTTCCTTCGCTAAGGACTGAATAAAACTTCCCCATTGCTATCAAATTTGTCAATCCAAAGATTTCTACTGCTGAAAGAGAGTTAAGAAGCAATTTCCAAAACTAATTAGAAAAGGAAGTATACAAACTTTGTGTCGAGTGCAGGAAATCAGAAGTCCAGACAGTTCAAATGAGTATAAAGGTTTATTGCAAGCTTATGCTCTCTAGAAGAATCTGAACTACTAATGGTCAAAGCAAATTGGCGGTAAATAAGAGTCAGTGGAAGTCAAGGTGGGCTTGATTTAGAACTCTTGTTGGGTGCAAAGGAACTTGAGACTGATGTTGCGTTTGACCCCTCCCTTGGGCTCGGCCATCTCCTACACTTAGTGTCCTTTCAAGGGCACCAGTGGTAGGTTTGAGCAAGATGGCTATTCCCTTGTCTCCCAAAGTTCTAAACCCACCAGAGACCCCTGTCGTGGGCTCTCTCCATGAGAAGCAGCTGTCTGGAGCAATTTTTGGCGATCTCAAGTCCTCTCCTGAAAAGATGGTCTACTTACTACGTGCCAACTGTTCATTCTATTTCATTTGCCAGCTCTGCTTTTCAGAACTGTCTTCAATCTGCCATTTCTTCCTCTGAAAGCCATTAATTTTAATAATACCAACAGACACACCTACCTCTATGGAAGAGGAACACCTTTGACCTGACAAGATTGAGATTGAATTGAAAGTACATTTACAAAAAAGAGGCTACAAGAATGACATCAAAAAAGATATTACTCTGGACATACAATAGAAGCTGGGTGGATATCGTAATAATTAAAAGGAATAAACAACTAACAGAACAGAAGAATGACCTGGATAGGTTTTCTACATTGGATTTACAAAAAAAGGCTTGTTACAGGTTTGAAGATTTTTGTGAGAAGAGAAAAAGAAGAAATTAAAAGAAATCAAGTTCTAGCATATTATATGTATGGACTAAAGGTTAAGATTGTTAGAAGTAGAAGGAATATAAAGTTGAGGTTAAACTCGCCATGTCGTTATCTCTGGTACCCCTACCTCCATTTTACCTTAAGTTTTTCCAGGACACAATGCATTTCCTAAAGTTTTGTTCACGTCTGCTATTTTTTTGAAAATATCTTAGTTCAGTTTGCATTTTATGCACACTTTGCCCTAGTTTATGCATTTTTACATACTTCCTTTCATTGGAGAATTGAACCGTAACATGCAGAATAAATGTGACTATTGAAATATAATTGCCTTGCAGTTCATGTACTGGTTTAAAAAGCATGCGAGTTTCCTTTCTCTACAGAAGACCGTAGGGTCTGCAGCCTTGCTTGCACATTGCAAGTCTTCACATCCCTAGAGAAGACCAAGAGGACTTTTGGCACGTCATCTCTTGGCTTTGCCAGCTCATAAGTCTGCGGGCAGACTCTGGGCAAGATGGAATCAGCCAATCAGAGATGGACCAGTTCTTGCTGATTTACTGAGCCCAAAGCAGCAGAAGAGCAATTCTTATTCTTTTATTCTAGGTGCCATTCCTGGACATAGCGATGCCCACAGGCTGTTGCAATGCAAGCCCTGCCTTTTGGTAGTGGTGGTGTTGTGGGGTCAGTTTAACAGTGGCAGAGTTTGCATCTCCATGCCAGGATGCCCTCAATTGCCCCATAGATGCCTGCGCTGCAGCAGGTGACATCTATGGATCTAATCCAGCCAACCATTATCTTTGGAATGCTCTCTCCAGGTCAGTCCTGTTGCTGACCTTTTAGCCAAGCCAAAGCCACCTTTTCCACCTGAAAAGCTGGCTTATCCAGACAGCAGGAAGGAAAGCCCCGAATGCATCCATCAGGGACCAGGTTTGTGCATCCAGGCAAAGCCAAAACCTTGCTGGGTCCTTCACCAGGCTTTGTAAAGAGCCACTTGTCCACCCCAGAGCAGTGGGAAGGCAGGCAGGCAGGCAAGACGAGTCTATATCTGAACTCTAATTGTACTGAAAATACTGGGGATTAAGCATCTAACGAAGCATTTAACTTCTATTGATTCTTTTTAAATAAAACTTGATGTGCATAATTATGGTTTAAGAATGAAAGTTTCTCCCAGATTGTTGTATGCATGTATAATTATTTGTTTTCTGTAGCATTGCAGCATCCCGAGTCAAAGCCAAAGCAAATTTTGGGTTGTAGCCGATGCATCTTATTCAGGAGGGACTTTGGGATTATTTTAATTTTTCACAATCGTGCAGCTCTCCGTGTAGTAAACCATTACAAATCCATGATATAAATAATAAATGAAAAGAGAATACAAGAGTTAAAACCAACAATCCACAACCTTCCAGAAGCAATATTATCTAGCTATGTACCATATCAACTATATTAGAAGCAAGATGAAGTTAAATGGGAGAAAACCTCTTTAAGCAGTCTTTCATCACACACACACACTTAAGAGGGATATCAAGATACCTCTCCTGTCTTCTGCTTGCTGGGTAAAGGGCCAAATTTTCTAAGCTTTTATTATAAAAACATATCTACCAGCTAAAAGGAAGGTCCTTGTACAGAGTACCTTTTCCATTCGTCTTTCATCCCAAGGCCACCATATTGCTTGAGGATTTCAGTTTAACAATTGAAATTGTATTTTTGTGTTGTAACGTAGTCTGGATTCCTAAATGGGGGGGGGCTGCTTTCCAGAGGGCAAAGAGGAAGCAGAGCTGGGAAATTCTGGGAGGCGGGAAGAGGGTGAAGGCAGCCCCTCCCTAGCCGTTCACAGAGGATATCTATTGGTATGCAAGCAGACTCACTCGAGTCTGGCAAGATTCTGTCTATAGGTGAAGAACAATAAGGGAAACAGCTCAGAAGTAACCCCACGGGTCGTTCTTGGGGCCTGACAGTTTTAGAGCAGATTGCTGAGTTTGTGATGCCAAGGTGATCTTTCTTTATTCGTGTCAGAAGCACCTTCAGATTATAGACATATAACGTTCAACAATGAGCCAGTAAAACAATGCCAAGACGATGGGAAAAAAAGGCAGTCCTATTTGAGAAGGTGGTTGATTCTGGCCTCACAACATTGAGAACCTCTTCCTTATTGGTGCCGAAGTAAACCATGCATTTTAATGTATGTTAACATAGTGCATCTTTTTAAAGGATGCCCCCACTTTGTTTCGTTGATTTACCCACTAGCTATTTCTCATTTTAAATGACTAGCTTGGCAAATGAATGGGGGGGGGAACAGCGGTTGCCTGATCCGGGTGGCCACCGTGCCACCCTCTGCCTGGCAGTGTTGCTCTCTCTATTTCCGAGAGGAAAGCCAGGGCAATCTTTTGGGAATTCCCGGGAGGCTGGGAGCGGAGCTGCGAGACTCGGAAGTCGGGACCGAAGCATGCAGCAGCTTTTGGTAGGCTGAGAAAGAAAAGGGCAGGATAAATGAGGTCCTAAAATACAACATGAACTTTTAATCAACAAATCTTTTAATGGGGTTCAGGTTTTAAATCACACCACATAAAGAAAGAAAAGTGATAGGAATATTGTTATATGTAAATAAAGGATGTAATAAAAAGATTTTTTAATATGGTAAAAAAGTGAGAGGCACATAATGAGCGTTCCAGTGAATGTTAAACACCCCCCCCAAATCCCCTTGTGGCTGTCGTATGATGCCACCTTTCTGAAAATGATAGCTTGTAATTATTAATTACTTTAATTATGGATGGTAATCAAGATCTTGATTTTATATTTGTTTATCATATTTATATTGCCGCCTGTCTCAGACCATGATTCTGGGTGGCTTACAGTAAAAAAAAAAACACCTATAAAATAGTAATATAAAAAAACCAATTAAAACAATAATATATGATTAAAAGGCAAGGGTTGGAAAGCGCCATGAAGCAGTCTGCATGTCTAAGTGCTATTATTGCTATTGCTACTTTCCACACTGAATGCTCATGGGATCAAAATTCAGACGCTTGGCAACTGGCTCATACGTATGACGGTTGCAGTGTCCGGGGGGGGGGTCATGTGATTCCCCTTTGCAACCTTCTGACAAGCAAAGTCAAGGGGGAATCCAGATTCACCGAGCAACAGTTTGACCAATTTAACAGCTGCAGTGGTTCACTTAAGAACCGTGGCGAGAAAGGTTGTAAAACAGGCAAAACCCACTTAACAACTGTCTCGCTTAGCAACAGAAATGTTGGGCTCAGTTGTGGTGGTAAGTCGAGGAATGCCTGCACACGGGGGTAAAGGGGCCTACAGGGGATCCCATGTCAACCCGTAGATCACATTGTGACTGGCTGTAAGCTGAGGGCACACAGATAGTCCTCGACTTACAACCGCTGATTTAGTGCCCATCCGAAGTTACAACAGCACTGAAAAAAGCGACTTAGGACCTTTTTTCACACTTACGACCATTGCAGCATCTCCCTGGTCACGTGATCGAAATTCAGACACTTGGCAACTGACATGGACATATGACTGTTGCAACGTCCTGGGCTCAAGGGATCCCCTTTTGCGACCTCCTGACAAAGTCAGCGGGGAAAGCCAGGTTCACTTAACAACCACATTACTAATGTAACAACTGCAGTGATCCACTTAACAACTGTGGCAAATGGGGCAAAACTCATTGAACAACCGTCTCGCTTAGCAACAGAAATGTCGGGCTGAACTGTGTTCATAAATTGAGGACGACCTGTACACCAGTCTAGTATCTGATTTTTTTATATATATATAAACTGTGCTTCAGTGATTGGATAGCCTAGAGATTGGTATCTGAATACAGATCTTTTTAACATTCATATTTTATCGTGTTACTTTTAATCTATATTTAATCTGTGTATATCGCCATACGCTAAATAAATAAATAAATAATGCACACATGGAGAGGGTGATTTCCGGGGCTAGAGGTTCACTGCTGTGTCTCAGGTGCCCAAGATAAGACCGGCTTTTCTACTTACTTTGGCCTTTCACACAATTTTTGAAAAAAATAGCAACAAGACTTAATATCGCAGTTTCCCATTCATCGATTTTTCTTTCCAATATTTTATCTTTTCTCCTTATGCTCAGTTAATCATCACAATTAACTGATTCTTGGCTGAGATATGCTTCCTAATTGGAACCAATACTGATTTCTGCACCTAAATTTTAAGGTTGTTTGCTCAGGCAAAGAAAGCATCTACGAATTCTCCCAAAAGCCGAATTTCAGAGACGTGGATGACATTTCTCAGCAGCCTTTCTTTTCCTCTTACTTTGAAAGAGTTTTTACCTTCAGTCGTACCAAAAGAAGAGCAGGCAGAGCACGGAGACGAAGGGTCGGTTTTTGTCCCCCAACAGGATCTGTATGCAATCGATCTTGAGCAATATCGCTACTCTGGAGTAAACCTGACCGGCTTCCGGATCTTGAATGTGGAAAATCCCCAGGTGTCTGCCATCATCGATAAATGGTCCATGGAGAGGTTGCAGACGGTCCCCAGACTGGAGCCTGGATTGATGGCAGGGGTCATGATGGTACGACGGTCACTAGGAACTCCTAGTCCTTTTTCTGCGGGTGAAGAATCGGAAAAGGCTTGCAGCTCGTTCGGCTTCTGCCAGGCTGAGCCGAAAGTTTTTAGCGCCCTCTGCTTTCGTCAGAAGAAGAGTCTGACCAATTTGCAGGCTGCAGCCAGTGGGAGTTTTTCCTCCTAATATTATCCTGGATTCGGGATGATTTCCTGGAAGCCTGGGTGCAAGGCAGATCGCCCAATCCCAGGCTTTTTGGGTAGAAGCAGTGGCTCATCGCAGTGGCCTTAACGGCCCTATAGAATGGAGAGGACGTTTGGGGACCGGGGGGAGGATGGTTTTCAGAGTGGCTGCATGTGGTCAAAGCAATTACTGTCCCCCTTCATTTTAGACAGACGCTGCCCTGTTGTATGACGCCGTCCACATCGTCTCTGTGTGTTACCAGCGGGCCCCTCAGATGACGGTCAACTCTCTCCAGTGCCATCGGCACAAAGCCTGGCGATTTGGCGGGCGCTTTATGAATTTTATCAAAGAGGTAAGAAGAGCCCTGGACTCTGGCAGATGTTGCAGATGTTGTAAGGTCCTGCCTCGGCTATCTTCTCAGAAAAGCGCAACTCTTGAAACAAGTGTTGTTTCAAAAGGAACTGTTACTGAGAGAAAGTGATTGCGAGGAAGTCAGGCAGAATCTGAAGTTCCCGCTCAAACCTTTAAGCTAAATCGCCCAATAGGCAAACCCCACCCCAGTGCCCCAGTCCGTCAGGAGCCAATCCACTGGTGTGAAGGTGTTACGAGAACTCTGAGCCGAGAAGGTGATAAGTTGTCTTCCTGGCGCTGCGACCTTGGTAACAGGCTGGAACTGGATGGATAGGAGTCATCCAGATAGCGCTTATGGCCCATCTCCCCACCTCCCAAATTCCCATACAGATACATCAAAGCAAAGCAGTAAATTTTCTACTTCCTTCATCTCCCCTCCCCTCGGAATGGCAGCGTTCTAACAGGGACCGGACAGAGGGGCTGGGGCTGGGCTGTTAGAGATCCAGGCATGGACTCATAGGCAGTAATGCTTCATGTCATCAGGTCATTTTTAGATGAAAGGAACATTCCAGTGGAACTACTCCTTGGCCTGGTTTGTTTAGCCAGCTAGATATTTATCCTGACATTTCTCAAGCAAGTAAGACTGAATCCTCTCAATTGTAGATGGGGCCCACTATTTCACTTGTCACCCTCTGCCAGATGCATAATTTCAAAGGGTCCCTGCTGGCTCAAGTAGAAGTAATTGCCACGAGAGCAGCAGCTATGCTCAAGTACTGCTCAGATTGTTGAGGAGGTCATTGCAATGACCCCCACAATTGTGTGCATGAAAAATTGAAGTGCTTCCTACAGGCACGCACATAAAGACAGAAGACAGGGAGTCAGCCTGTGCAAACATTTGTCCTTGGATTAAGACCCAGCTTCCTTTGAATGGGCTGGCCTACGCAGATTCCTTTCCTGAAAATTCTCTTTTTCTCAAAATGCTACGCTTGACTCATGTCCCTTTCGTTCGAACACCAGACGACATTGCTGCCAAATCACTGTAACCCAGGGGTCTCCCGAGGCTTTCTTGTGGTTTTTCGGGCTTGGTTTATCATTGCCAAATGGTAATAAAATGAGTAGAAGATCAGGCTTTAAGTGGCTGCTGGTTGCAATGGCAATCGGAATGAAGCGATACGGGTATGTAAAATTATGCACAATGTGGAGAGAGAGAGAGAGAGAGAGAGGAGAGAGGAGAGAGAGAGAGAGAGAGAGAGAGAGAGAGAGAGACTAGTGTCATTGACCAGCCAGCGGAGAGAAATGGCTCTGGCTGGGAAGGAAATATTTTTGCTCACAAGCTGTGGAGCTTCTGCCTCGGGGTGGAGAGATGTCCAGCCACTTGAAAAGCTTTAAAAACAATTCAGCCGTATCATGGAGAAAGATGGCTGTGCTATTACTTGTAAGGAGGCTGCACCTATTACTTTCAGGGTCAGAAGAAGACGGGCTACTCACAATCGCTTGTCAAGGAGCAGGAGGTGTGGGACACAGCTGCCAGCTTCCTCGCTATTTGGTTATCAGTGAAGCCTTCAGAATATGACCTGCTGCAGGGCTGTTCTGACAACTGGTCAACGGATGACCTCCTGCACAACTTGGGTGAACAGTCTTTTAAAGAAGGCTGTTCCAACCTGGGCTAATTAATTGCCTCCACTGGTGTGGAGGGGGGGATGTGTGTTCCTGGCTTCCTCTCATTTTTTCTTACAGCTAGTTTTGAAAGGAACCAAATAATGGGAGGCAACTGATAATTAGAGTCTTCTCTGCTGCCTTCACCATAGAATTCAGAGGGACATTAGCAAAATTCAGGCTGGTCAAGGTGCAGTTGACAATCTACCCAGCAGTGAGCAAGGATGGAACCCCTTCCTCTTTCCCTTTCAGGCCCAGTGGGAGGGCTTGACGGGGCGAATTGCCTTCAACAAAACCAGCGGCCTCAGGACGGACTTCGACTTGGACGTCATCAGCCTCAAGGAAGACGGGCTAGAAAAGGTCGGTGGCTTCTTTGCTTGCTCGCCTCTTGGCACCTCTGAGGAAAGATCTGGGCGGCGGCCAGGACCTCCCCCTTGGGCAGCTTCAGAGAGAGGAGGGTGTGCCGAAGTCCCCAGAGAAACAAGTGCCTCCCCTCCCCCCCAAGATGGCGGGCTCTACTTTGCCGTGGGTTCCTTGCATGCGTAGGGGTTGGCCCCAACTTGGGTTCAGACTCTTATCTTTCTTCAAAGCTTTTTTAAGCAATCACGTTTTTTCCAGCTTCTCCAGCTCCATAGTTCTGACTAGCCTAGAAAATGTCATAGAAATCTAGGGCTGGAAGGCACCTTTGAGGTCTTCTAGTCCAACCCCCTGCTGAAGGTAGGAGACCTTTGACCATCGCAGTCAAATGGTTGTCCAACCGTTTCTTGCAGCTCAGGCATTGAATCAACATTGAATGGTTTGGTTAGATTGGTTGGAAAACTCTTGCATGTTTCCTAGGGGTGAAAGGAGGCAGCCTTCCCCCCTCCCCCCCTGGTTAGTTGATACACACACACACACCTGGCAATCTAGCCTAGGTCATTCTAGGGCCCTTGCAGACGACCCCAATCAGTCCTGGGGGCTCAGGATTTCCCTTGTGCCCATCGGACATCCTGTAGTGGTGACCTGTGTGAAGGGGTGTCTATGAACTGCAGCGGGGAGGGAAAACAATTCCCCCTTGTGACATTTGGTGCCAGGTCACCTTTCGGCACCTCCTTTGCCACAACCTGAAGCGGAAAGACCCCTGCCGTCAAGAAGCAAAAATCATTTGTTCATTTTCCTTGTTTCCTGGTTGTGCCCCCTGCAGGCGCTGCTGCTCCTCCTCCTCCTGTGTGTGTGTGTTTAAAGCTTTTTCCGAGCTCAGGAGAGGCTTTAAAGTGGCTGCGTCAAATCTCGGCAGAGTCGGCCTTACAGCCTTGTCAGGATGTAATGTGAATTAATGGCGTCCCAAATGAAAGCAAATCCCTGTCGATTTACTTGGGCCTTGTGTTCACTATTTTACATTTGCTAAGGTTTCGGGTTTAGCACTTTCTCGCCTTCTGCAACTTGCAGATTGGCAATGCCGTATTCTGTGCTCTTAGGGGAATCGTGTTAGGGATTTGCAGAACAACAATGAACGCAATCAGCTTTTGGGCTCCTGCAGAGACGGCCTCGTCTTGCTGAAGTCATTGTAGGCGAGGGGAGTCTTGGTGTTTTGCTTCCCATCAGACCCACAAGTCTTCACCCCCATTGCTTATTGTCAGATAAAGGGGAGGGGGTAGTTCTCAGATAAGCAGCAAACCAAAAAATGTGTTCACTAAACTCTTTCACTATATTGCCACACACTTCTTTTTTTTTGGTGGATTATTGTATAAACAGGCGGATAGGGTGGTTTTCTAAAATACTCTTTCAAAAAGAAGATTTTGAATATTGCGTGGTTTGACTGAGATTGGATCCTTTTGTCCGTCTGAGAAAATGGGGAATAAATCTTATACATTCTGCTTTCTCATTTGTAAGCTTTATGGACACAGATGATGTATCGCCTAACATTTTTGGAAAGATCATTTGAAGTCATTATGCACACATTCCACGTCTTCTGCTTAGTAGAGCTGCTCTTTCAGAGACCAACTTGTTTCAAGGCTGAACTGGAGTCTCTGGATGACTCCCGGCCCCGCCTGACCCCCAGGTGAGATGGCCCTTCCAACCTGGCGGTGGGAGTGGGAGCAAAGATGAAATGTTGCCACAACTCATGAGTCCCCTAGTTGCATCTGACACAGTTACCAAAGGCTGGGGTTGGTTGTGATGTTGCAACACATCTTTCATTATTTTTTCAATGTGCTTATTGGCAGCAGAGCTGGTGGATCTGAAGTGTCTCTAGCTGAGGGTGCGTGCTGCTCACTGAACAAATTTGTTTGTGTGTGTGTGTGTCATTTCAATAAATGTTCAAGCAAAGCTGCTCAGCAAAGGAGCTTCGTGACCCCCACACACACACACACACTGAAGATAAAACCAAGTGGTTCCCCTTGCTTTGCTCATCTGTGAGGCAGGGGCAAATCCCAGACAGAAGTACTGTATACATTTCCAGTTTTTGTAAGGAAACAGCCCCCAAGCAAGTCAAACCCATCTCAACAGATCAAAGGGCTGTTCAGAAACCCAGGATCCTGCCGCTCTTCAAAATGAGGCAATTGACTGCGATCTGATTGCAAGAGCCCTGGTGATAGCTGAACGCAACAACTCTCTCCCTTGCAAATCACTGGTTGTGTTTGCATAGCGCCAAAGGTTGCTGGGAGAGCAAGGAGTTGCTCACCATGACCTGCAAAGAACTGGGACTTAATCCAGTGGATTACGCTACCAGCCCGCGGACCTAAAAGCCTACCACTAAAAGTCTAAAGCAGAAAGCCTATAAGAAAATATATATTTGTATCTGCACAAATCCTGAAGAGTAACAAAGCCATAGCTAACACTGCAGTGACTTGCAAGGTATGTGCTATGTTTGTATTCCTGCCCAGGGAGGATTTAAATTACACCTGCATCAAGTGCAAACTGATCTGATTGCTAGAGGAGAAAATGGATGGTCTAGGACAGGGGTCTCCAACCCCCGGTCTGTGGACCGGCACCAGGCCATGGCATGCTGGCAACCGGGCAGCGCAAAGGACCGAAGCCCCATCCACAGGATGCAGGCAGCACACAAAACCACACCCTTCCGGTCCACAGACAAATCTCTCTCCACGGAACCGGTTCCTGGTGCCCAAAAGGTTGGGTGCCGCTGGTCTAGGGGCGTGTCTAGACACTCTGAGTCTCACCTGTGAAAAGGAGGAATTTCTTGGAAAGGCAGAAGTCAGCATTCAAACTAAATGCAGCAAGGAAGACACAACTCCAAGAAAAAGAAGGAAGCCCTGGAGGCAGACCGATGGCAGCATGTCACTCAGAGGACAAAAATACCAGGAGAGTGTCCCTGACCCTGGAGTTGAACAATCATTTTCACCTCCTCCCCCTGGAAGAAAACACACGGACATCTGGAGGATCAAATATTCCCACGAGGACGAAAAGTAGCTCAGATTGTCACAAAGACAAGTCTGAATGAGTTCCCCAAAGAGAAACGACATGAGCAGGTGATGGGTGATTCACTTCAGAGGAACAGAATCAGCAATTTGTAGACTGCACAACCTGTCCACAACCTATCAAGAGTTGTCTTGTCTCCCAAGTGCAAAGATCAAAGATGTGACACAAAGCTTATCCATATAATCAATCCCATTATAATCTCTTTCTCCTCTTACACGTTAGGAAGAATGGTACAAAAAAAACCCCTGCAAAACAAAGTGCTGGAGAGGAAAGTTGGAGAGTTACGAATGAGAGGAGCAGTTGTCATTCCTGGTTGGAAGAAGGGAAGGGAAGTCTCTGAAAGTTGAAATCTTTGCTCAAAACCAAGATGAGAGATGCTGTTGTTGGTATCTGGGGAAAGACTGGGCAGTAATTCCAGACATTCTTCCCCTTGAGATTCAGGAGGTTTTGCTGGGCAGATTTAAGAAAGGAGACAAGTTGGTTTCTGTTCTTTCTCATTTTGATAAAAAAGGAATCCATATTCTACTTCCCATTCTCATCTACCCCAGTCAAATCATTACAAATGATTGGAAGCACCACTGCTTCAGACAGGAAGGCGGTGCAGAGAGTGGTGAGGATAGCAGAAAAGATCATTGGCAGTTCCCTCCCTCCCATCCAGGACATAGCACAGAAGTGTTGCTTGAGCAGGGTCCATAAGATCATCTGGGACACTACACATCCTCTTCACAACCTGTTTTCCTTGTTACCTTCTGCGAGGAGGGGGTTTCGTGGTATCCGAAGCAGATCATCCAGATTCAGTCACAGCTTTGTTCCATACAGTATTAATCTGGTGAACTCTAAAGCTTCTTTTTTCCATTATGTATTCAAGTTGGACAGTGATTAATATTTACAGTATATGTTATTTATATGTAAGGGTGAAAGTTTATACATATATTGTATACAGTATATCATGTTTAAATGGGTGTTACGTTTGTGTACACTTTTGAGAGCAAGGAACTAAATTTCATTTTTAACATGTGCCAATGTGCCCACAGTAAAAAATGACAATAAAGGTTATCTTATCTATCTTATCTTATCTACATACAAACTATTTGCCTTCAGCTGAAGGAAATACTATCTGAACAAACATGGATGAGCTCTCCTTTTACGTTTTTCCAGGTTTACTGTTGTCAACACTGGAGGATGTTTTCTGTGCCTTCATTTAGGGCCTTCAAGCTATCTGACCACCTTTCTTTGCCACCTGTTTTTTCAGGACCAAAAGCTCTAGTTGGGTTTCTCCTTACTCTTAGCCTTTGTTTCCATCCCAGGTTGGCGTGTGGAGCCCCTCGGATGGGCTGAACATCACTGAAATCACCCGAAAACAGGGGCCCAACGTGACGGATTCTCTGACCAACCGATCTTTGGTGGTCACCACAGTTCTGGTAGGTTCCTTGAGCATTCAATGTAATCCTTCTGCTTTCCTGTACTGTTTCAGATCTGAGATAAATACATTCCTCAAAAAACGAATACACAAAACCTTAAACTCTGAGCTACCCTGGCTAACCAGGCAGGAAGGGAGTCTGTAAAGTCTTGCTTGCCCAAGAATTTCTCTTCATGGGTTAACAGAGATGACCAGTGGATTGCAATGGGCCTGCTGTGGATTTTTGTCCTGGGACTTCAGGCTCCTTATTGAGGCCACCCAGCCGGGAATGGCTCAGGATTTCTATGAATCCATCTCAGTCGGTACCTCCCCCCCAGTCAGGCACAGCTGGGTGTTCCTGGTGTCTGGAACTGGTGATGGGAGGAACTTTCTGTAACTCAGCTGCCATAGCAGGTTGGTCTCTGCTCACTTAGTGACTGGCAGCTACTCTGAACCTCTGCAGGGTGGGAGAGCGATTAAAATTGTTTGTTCCAAGCAACTCTGAATCCTCCGGATGGTTTCCTAAATATGCCTGAAGAATTTAATGGGCTGAGCAGCTAATATTTTTCCCCTAACCACTTGACTGCATTCAAGAGTTAGTAGGACCAAAGAGTAGACAAAGTCATAGAAAATGAAGAAGCACAAATGCTCTGGAATTTCAGAACTCAAAGAGACAAGCACCAGCCACATAACACATCAGACTTAACAACGGTCAATAAGGAAGACAAAAAAGTCTGAATAGTGGATGCGGCAGTACCTTGAGACTGCAGAATAGAAGAGAAAAAAACTGGAGAAGATAACAAAATACAAAGTCCTATAAATAAGGGACATTAGAAGGGAGAGAACCGACTTGGGTGTAGGAAACAGTCATGGTCAGGCTGCAAGAGAGGGAAAAACCTAACAGACACACCATCCCTTGGGGACAGTTTCTGCTGGAGAAGCCTCCGTATTTGCAAGATTCGAAGCCAGTAGAAACCCTGATGTTTGTAGGGACTCTGTTTTCCTTACATGAGAACAAGGGCAATCCCCTGGGGGAAGGAGGGAGGGAGGGAGGGAGGGAGGGAGGGAGGGAGAGAGAGAGAGAGAGAGAGAGAGAGAGAGAGAGAGAGAGAGAGAGAGAGAGAGAGAGAGAGAGAGAGAGAGAGAGAGAGAGAGAGAGAGAGAGAGAGAGATGGAGATGCTCTCTGGTTCTTTGCTGCTTTGGGTATAGTAGCGTTGCTGGTGGGAACCGCAATCTAGAAGGGGGAAAAAAAGAGAAGAGAGAAGAAGGCTGCCTCCAGTCGCTCCCTCCCTCGCTTTCACACTCTTTTGCTCATACATTGCAGCAACATGTTGGGAGCAGCCTCGTGTTGCCCAACAGACGGTTCTGCTTTCCCCAGGCCCTAGAAGAGCTGTGAAGATCTTGGAATTGAGGGCACTTTTGCTGATAAATTTATTAGCAAGCCTTGAAAGCTTGCAAATTGAATGCCTGGCCATTTCCAGTAATAAATTGTGAAACAGCCTGTGAATATGTGCCTTGCAGAGTTCAGGAATGACTCTGTGTTGGAGACCTCCCGGAAGGGTGCTGAGGGAAGAGAGCTTTTTGCACAGAGAGAGAGAGAGAGAGAGAGTTGTGGCTGCTTTGTTGGTGGTTAATGTGGAGGGCTTTGGAGCCTCCTGAGGTTCAGGGGACCTCCAAGCGCTTGCAGATGCCCCCAGACATGGGCTACAAACCTGACCCTTTTGTCAATTTCATGGCACGTGGGATCTGTTTTTATGCCACGTGTTCAGGCTCCCCATCATTGTTTCTGATACTGTCCACCTCTCTCAGTTATTGTACTCTTGAGAAAGGTCACAAACTTTGGCTGTCTGGTCTGGACACTAGTATTCTCATGCTATTGGATAGCGCAAGGCACGCATTGCTTTTTGAGTTGAGTGTGGGTTTCTATGTAATGTGGGGAAGAAACAGCGCAAAGCTTCATGGATGCAGAAATCTGTATATGGGAGGAATGTGCGACTGGACATAAAGTGAGATGTCCACCAGCAGCCTGGTCTTCTGCCATATGTTCTCAGTTGAGCACTAAGAGTCTTGGTCCAATGTAAGAGGCCAGGGTGTTTTTGGTGACATTTCAAAATGCTTAACTTTGCTTGAATCTGACCAGCCAAATCTGCAAAACACAGCCAAGTCTACATATGCTAATGCTGGAATGTGGGGGTTTTAATGATCAAATTGGTCAGGAGGTTAATGCCGGAAAATATTGCTGCAGCCATTCCAGCTGGCTGGACGATTGGGGTACATAACTCCCTGGCTCAGGGTGTGTGTGTGTGTTGAATTCAGTGTCTATGTTCTTCATGTGGCTGTGTTATCTTTTCTGGCCATTAGGAAGAGCCGTTTGTCATGTTTGCCAAGTCAGACACAGTTCTGTCCGGGAACAGGCGCTTTGAAGGCTACTGCGTGGACCTCCTGGCAGAAGTCTCCCGCATCCTTGGCTTCTCCTACGAGATTCGTCTGGTGGAGGATGGGAAGTACGGAGCCCAGGATGAGAAGGGCCAGTGGAACGGCATGATAAGGGAACTGATTGACCACGTAAGTGAGAAGCCTCTTCCATCAGTGGAACTTTCTCTCAAAGCCTCCTCCTTTTTCTCTTTCTCCTTTGCTTCTTAAAATACTTGTTTAAACTGCCACGAAATTCCATGAGGATCCATACTCGGTGCAGACTACGAAATCAATCGAAGCATAAACAGGTAAATCTGAAACAATGATCAGACATAAACCAGAATTGGGAAAAATGGTGCTTTACCCTATCTGTCATTCCAACTAACCTGGGCTGTGGAAATTCAGGGATTATGTGGAAAAAAGAAGCTGATTGCACCATTTCCGCCATCTCACTCACACACAAGGGCAGGGGTTTCACAGGCCATTAAATCAAGGGCAGCTGTCAGGCACAAGAAACCAGGAGCCAGCATGAAGTTAAAAAGCAATGCAAGTTTATTCCATGCCACCTATACACAAGGATCTGATCTACTAACAGTCAATGCGAATTGGCGCCAGATAAGAGTCAATGGATTTCAAGGGGGGCTGGACTTAGATCTCTTTCAGGGGCACAGGGACTCTGGAGTGATGATGCCTTTGACCCCACCCTCAGGCCCAGATTTGATGTTTCTAAATATGGGCACAGTTGGACACACCAAGCCAGAGAAGCCAGGCACTTCTGGGCATCACAGAGCCCGTGTATTTTTTTTCCCCTTCACAAGAGATGAGGCAGTCAAGAAAAGATCATGGTTTCTTCTTGTCACTTCTTCCTCTTCTGATTCCTTTCCTTGTTTCTCAGCAGCCTGTTCAGTTCTTCATTGTGGCGCCCATTGTAATCCAGCAGCCCTGTCTATAAGCAGCAGTCCTCCTTCTATTGCTTAGCTATCCCCATGTAACACTTCCCGAAAATGTCTTCACTTCAAGATATATTGTTCTGTATGCTGCTGGTAGTGAATGAGCTCAAAAAAGAGCTACCCATATAAATTAAAGCATACGGAGTTCGGATTTTCCTGTCCTGAAGGCGTGGAGTGGAATGTGGAGCAGACGATATCAAAATAAGTCCTTTGTCACGAAATCAAGCAGCTCTGAGTTACATCTCCCATGCTTGTGTACTCTGGAAGGTCAAGTGTGCTTTATGCGGGTAGAGCAGTGGTTCTCAACCTATGGGTCGGGACCCCATTTGGGGTCGATCGACCATTTCACGGGGGTCGCCAAGCAAGGCTGTCCGCCATTTTTTTTCCCCCTTTTCCGGCGGGTGCCTTACCTCCCTTGGGCTGGGCCAGCTGGTGGTCGGCCTGCTCCGTCTCTGCCGCTTGCCAGCTACGCCTCGGCCGGCGCAGGGGGCGGAACCACGCATGCGCGGCGCTCCCGGGCAGGGAAAGTCCTCGACTTACGACCGGTTGGGTAGTCCTCGACTTACGACCGGTTTAG